ATATCTGCATCTGGAAATTGAACTTGTGCTGCCTTTTGCAACCCAACCTCAAAGTCGCAGACCACCATGCTCGGCTCGATTTTGTCGTCTGCAGCGACATTGACAGCCTCCATCAAATGCCAGTACGTATCTTGGGTGTTTGACGTGCACAATGTATAACATACAGGGACGAATAGGTCCGTTGCATTATTAAAAACCATCATTACCACGCACTGGTAGAATGGGCGCGGGACGCACCTGAATGTCCCGTCGAGAAACAACGTAGTCTGTTTGTACTTCAGTAGCTTGATCAGATCAGGATGAGCCCAACCGACTAAGCGCTCTAGTGTTGTTCTATTCATATAGGACCTGTAAAATTGAAAGAATGGCTGTGTGGTCCCCGATACCAGTGACAGCGGCGGAACCTCCACAATACCATGCAAATCTGCACCAAAGTGAGCACGTCTCGCTCGGTGAACTCGCTGGAGGACTTGCTCACGTGTAAGTCCGAATTGCACCAGTGATACTTCCTCAGGGTAGAAGTCGCTGCGAAACTGCTTCCAGGTTCGTTCCGCCGTCAAGTCCACTCGAGTGATAGCCATCACATCAGTGGCCTCCTCCATGTCTTCGGTAACATCTACTCCAGGTAATTTAACTCTACGCCGGTCGCAAGAATGTTCACCACGAAATTGGTACTTATTTGTCTTGTAATGTAACTTTGCCTTGCATTTTGTACTCCGGTAGGAACTACACCTGTACGAAATCTTAACCTCCAATTATACCTGTAAATGCGTGACCAGCTGCATGGACAACAGTGCGACGATGATGCTGAACACTGTTTGCTGGAACATGCAGTGGAATACCTTCAGCGGCTTTTTCGTCTGCAGGATGCCCAGTAGAAGGTGAATTTGATATGGCACACTGGTGATCGCCTTCTCTACTCAAAAAAGCTGGAGGTGATCCCCCTTAAGCTGGCAGGCCAACACGACTGTGTGGACTTCAGCATGGTCTGGGGCGGCGGCGCGAGGGTTCTGGCCGGCGGCGCCAGCTTGGGAGGCGGGGCTTGGGTCCTGGGGTGCCGATGGGGGCGGCGGAGCGCGAGCCAGGTCGGCTGCCAGCGCTACTGGGTCGGCGAGCATGCTGCCTGCCCTGCCGGGTGGGGCAAGCACACTCGCGACGTCTGCCGGGGGTCCTGGGGCGGCGGCGTGGGGGTCTTGAGCGTCCTCGTCGTCGCTGCTGTCGCCGTCGAGCTCCAAGGGCCAATGGCGGACCGCCAAGGCCCGAGCTGTGGCGGCTGTGAGCGCAGCACCCGGCGATACCGAGCCTGCCGGCCGCCCTGCCGGGTGGTGCCACATCGTAGGGGGGTCTTGGGGGCTGGCGAGGGCCGTCGCCGCGAGCCCTGCGTCTGCGAAAGCCAACGGGCGCGCTTGGAGGCTCGGCGGCGGCGTGTGGGCCGCGCCAGAGCGCGAAGTCGGCGGCGCCTGGGAAGGCAGCCGCGAGGCCGAGCCGCGTACGGGCTGAGAGGCCAGCGACCGGGGTATACTCAGACCAAGTATAGCCCCGCGTACAGGCCGAGAGGCCAGGGATTCGGCTGTACTTGGTCCCAGTATGGGGCCGCGTACAGCCTGATTGGCCGAAAGTCGGACCAATCGGGGGCCGCCAGATCGGCCTCGTCAGCTGCGCTATAGAAAGACGCGTCGCTGCCGAGACTTGATTGGCTGGCCGTGGAGGCCTCGCTGTCCGAGGACAGGGCCCGGTCTCTGATTGGCCAGAAGAGGCGCATGGCGCACTCTGATTGGTCAAAAAGAAAAAAGTTCGACAACCGAGGACTTACGAGGTCGCAGGCGAATTAGAAAAGTGTAGAGAAGATCGGTGTAGTGTGTTCTGTAGTTGGCCTCGCGGGGGAAAGGTGTACGCCCCCGGAGACCGCTCGTCCGCCGCTAGCAAGCTAGCCGCAGCCGAGTGCCCAAAAATGCGAGTGAAAAAGTCCGCCAAAAGGCGAAAACCAGTTTTCACACTGATTAGAACAGAGAGTTTTGTGTATTACCATTTGGCTTACTCGTTACCAAATTTGTAATTTGGTCGCTACCTAATTGAATGTCTAAAATATAGGTAAGGCTTGCGAGTCGACCACCGAAATGGGTTTCTAGGGCGGTTCCCTACCTGGGTGGGGCCCTGTCGGCCGTCTTGGGCCTGGTTTTCGCCTAGCGGCGGCTTGTCTGGGACGGAGTCCCCCCGGTCTCCGTCGCCCGGCTGCCTCTTGGTCCTTGGCTGGGCCTCGCCTGGTGTTGGCGAGTCCGGTGCTGGCTGCAGTGTAGATTCCAGATGCGGCGGCTGGACTGGATGCAGTCGGCAGACAGCTGCCGGTCCAGCCGCTTTGCATCGCGCTTGAGTAGCCCCAGGTGTGTGGTGTACACCTGGTAGTTGCCACTAGCGACCGCCCCAAGCGACCCGTACACGAGCGCCGAGAGGTGTACCTTCCATCCTTGGCGATCGAGGTGTCGCTTGATGCGATCGTACTTGGCTCGCTTGTGGCTGGCGATAAGGGACAGCGCCGAGCTGCTCGCGTCGTCACTCGCCTGCTCCTCAAACGCCACGGCCAGGTCGACCACCGCCACCGTCTTCTTGGTGTGGTTGTAGAGCTGGAGATCGGGCCGTAACGCGGGGCCGGCGAGTGACGGCACGGTCTGGTTCACTCGGAGCTCGACGCGGTCCCGGCGGTCCGTGGACGACGCGTGGAGCTCACGCTCGATGCG